TGCCATAGACAGTGCCACACACTGGATTTGCTCTTGTTTAAGTATTTTCAGGCAATGATGTTGCTGTGCTTTTATTCAGTAGAAAAAGGTCAATTTGAGTGAAGTGAGTTCAGTGTTTTTCTAACATTTCAAATACAGTGCAGTATTTCTTTCCCTGAAAATGACACTGCTTTGTTGTTGCTCTTCTGTCAACTGTTTGATACTTCAGTGTGCATCACCTTGCTGTCCTTGCCTTTGTCATTGGCTACATAGGTTGTTGAAATATCTCTTGATGCTAGAAAAATTGGTTTTATTTGCATTAAAACAGCATATTATTATTTCAGATTTTTATTGACAAATCAAGTTAACTAATCATGAGTGACATTTGCACAATAAATAAAATAAAAGGCCTGCTTAAGATATCAGTCTCCAATGATTCTTGACAAAACTTGCACTGTCTCCAAATATGATCCAATTGCATCATTTAAAAAACTCCTGAAACTGGCAAAATGCAACCTCTTCATCTGAGAGCTCACGGGCCATCTGAATCTCAGGAACTGACACAGTGTCTCCATGCTGATTGTGGCCCATTCCAGTCGATCCCATAGTCTTCATAAACCTGAACAGAGGATAACCTTGATTGACATATTGTTTAAACTACTATGACATTCATCACACAAGATTCATGAGATTGATCATTGGTCCTTATGTTGGTGACAAATTAAGTTTTAGGCACTTTGCTGCTCAGATGTGTTTCTGTCAGAGCTCAGGAGACAGAAGAGATTCTCATGTTTCATTCAAAAACAAGAACAAAGTGATAACAGAAACCCTTTTATTCAAATATAGTGGGTCAATTATCATCTGTCTGAAATGTTTCTTCTAAGAAATTTGAGGAAAAAAAATCTGCTAAACATCAGTGACAAACACCTGTATCTCCTGACCAACAAAATATGAATATATTTTCAAAAGTTTCAATAATAGTGTAAAACTACTATCTTTTTTAACCTCTGCAGGATCCTCCATGGGGCCTTGCTCTCTGTATCTTCTCCAGAGTTCATTAGGTGATTGATTCCTTTCAGTTCTAAGTCCATGAAAGTTCCAAGCATCTCTGAAGGAGCTGAGGGTTCTCTGAATTTGGGGAAGGAAGATCCGGTGCAGGCATAAAGATGGACTTGGTTGTCTGGATTGAGTGTTCCCTGATCTTCCAATGAAGTGAAGATCTGATAGAAGAGGTCTAGGCATGCTCATAAACATCTCCCATCCTCTCTATTCTGCAATTAGAATGCAATTAAAATTGTTAATTAATTAATTATAATCTCAAGCTTTAAAATACATTGAGCTGCTATGGTTTGTACAAGCAGTGGTGGACAGTAACGGATACATTTACTTGAGTATTTGTTTTTTTGGAAACTTGTGACTTTCACTCCACTACAAGATAAATATTTGCTTTCGACTCCACTACATTTCTAGGAAGCTCGTCGTTACTGTTCCTTTTAGGCTCAGCATAGCTTTGTAGTCAGCTGTTGGTGTTTTTTCTTTTCTAAAATGCAATTGGCCTCACGCTGTGCTCCTCATAGAAGGGAACCAATCACAGTCACCGCTCACACATGGATGGATTTGGAAATACGTCATCAACGCTCAGTGTAGCAAGCTCTCCCCCTTCATTCAAACAAAACTCGGCAATGGAGATGGCAGGAGAAGCTGAGGAAAGAGACTAAATGTGCACCATCTTTTAGGGATTTCCATCACTTTCCACAGACATGGAAAAATGCAGGTTACAGATTTTATTAAGGCAAGGGTTATGTTGCCATGTAGCCAAGTGGTTCAACTGGATGATGAGTTCATGAAAGCAGAGTTGCAGTTTGTTCGCAGTAATGGACTGAACAGTAAACTTGCAACTCCCCCACAGTGAATGTACGGGGAGAAAAAAAAGCCCTCCTGTTTTTTTTGGGTGGATGTTTAAATAAAAAATTAAATGACAATAGCTGTCCTTATTGTTTTTGATTGCATTTTTACGCTGAAGTTTTTACAGGTGTTTCTATAGACTTGTAAGTCAATACATCATTAGGTGGTTTCAGAGAGTTACAAGGTTCTGTGTAAGCACTGAGAAAACAATACAGCAATGCACTGATATTAGAAATGTACTTTGTACTTTTGAATACTCAAGTATTTTTAAAAGTAAGTACTTTAGTACTTTAACTTGACTAAAATCTTGACCGAGCAACTTTTACTTGTAGTTGAGTAAGATTTGACCACGAGTATCAATACTTTGACTCAAGTACTGGAGTTGAGTACTTTGTCCACCACTGTGTACAAGTAGTCACCAAACAGATATATTGACCTACCGCTGATTGTGTACACTTCTGCCTGTGATGTGAGAGTTCCTGTTAGTACCTCTGCTCCTGATCATGAATTCTGCTACGTCTGAATTCTCTCTTCCTTTATCAGACCGTACCCTTGACGGCAGCCCGTACTGCTGAACGGCATTGATAAAGCTCTGTAGGACAGTGCTAGCCCTGTTATTGCCAGCCACATTCAGGTAGACCACCAGTCGACTGAATCCGTCCACCCCACCATGGACAACAAATCTCCACCTGTCAGACAGTTTTGAACACAAAAAAGCTTTAATGTGATCATTTCTTTGGACATCTATAGAAAGTTGCATTGTTTATCAACTAATATCACTGATACCTTATAAGCTTGTGGTGACCATCTATGTGCCATAAAGAGTTTGGGCCAGGAACAGAATACTGCCGTCGTCTTGTTACATGCAGCCGTAGACGTCTCATGTACACTCCCTCAGCATCCACTCTGTGCAAAGACTCTCAGTCTTGAGACTTTAGAGCAGAAAATAATCATACACTCATTTGCTATTTATTTAAAAAAACACTTAAAAATCTAACTGAGAAATACTGGAAAAAAAATACCAGAGTTTCAAATATTTAGAAGTATTTTGATAGTGTTAGGTGTTAATAAATAAATAATAATAAATGGCAACACCATGGATCATCAGCAACATTTAGCTCCTGGATAAAAAAAAAAAAATTCAGGTCATCAAAATGTTCACGCCTTGGATACCACATGTTTTAAAACGACACAACCTCGATTAACTTCATGTTTGATATCGAATGTTTGAATTTGTAAATCCAGTACAAAACCACCACAGTCTCAAAAATGACCAGAGTTCACCTTATCTATCATCAACATGATATATAAAACTTCATAATAACAGGATACAAATCTGGATTTACCCTGGAAATGAGTTTCAGATATATCAGCCGCTACGTTGCAAAAGAATACACACATACATGAGCCTTACCTTAACAATATATATTCTCATTGACCTTGCGCCTAGTTCATGGTTATTTATATTTATTCATATTGGATCATACTCACTTGGAACACGCACACCTCTAGCATTCAAATGTCCACGCATTAGCTTGTAGCCGGTGTTTGGACACTTCTGTGGACTTCGCTTACAATACGGTCCAACTCCTCATCAGCAACAGGTGTAGAGATCTGTCTTTCTGAGCAGACCAACAAACTACATGTTACATTTCACTTAACATGAAGGACTCTCTCTCTCTCTGTCTCTGTCTCTCTCCCTCTGTCTCTCTCTCTCTCTCTCTCTCCCTCTCTCTCTCTCTCTCCCTCTGTCTCTCTCTCTCTCTCTCTCTCTCTGTCTCTTTCTCTCTCTCCTCTCTCCTCTGTCTCTCTCTCTCTCTCCCTCCTGTCTCTCTGTCTCTCTCTCTCTCTCTCTCTCGTCTCTCTCTCTCTCCCTCTTCTCTCTCTCTCTCTCTCCTCTCTCTCTCTCTCTCTCTCTCTCTCTGTCTCTCTCTGTCTCTCTTGTCTCTCTCTCTCTCTCCCTCTCTCTCGTCTCTCTCCCTCTCTCCCTCTGTCTCTCTCTCTCTCTCCCTCTGTCTCTCTGTCTCTCTCTCTCTCTCTCTCTCTGTCTCCTCTCTCTCTCCCTCTCTCTCTCTCTCCTCTCTTCTCTCTCTCCTCTCTCTCTCTCTCTCTGTCTCTCTCTCTCTCTCTCTCTCTCTCTCTCTCTCAGAAGTCAGAAACTGGATCGTTTAAAACATGCTAACTTGAGGGGTGTTGAAGGGCCTGCTTGTGTGTGTGTGTGTGTGTGTGTGTGTGTGTGTGTGTGTGTGTGTGTGTGTGGTGTGTGTGTGTGTGTGTGTGTGTGTGTGTGTGTGTGTGTAATTCAAGTGTATGCTTGTATTTTTTTTTTCCTTTATACCCCTATTCCTATTTCTCTCCTTCTCTCCTTCACTCCATTTTTCTTTTCTTTTCTTCTTTTTTTCTCCTCCTTTTTCTTCTTTCCCCTTTCCTCCCTTTCTTTCTTTCTATATATATTATTATTTTTATTACTTCAGTCATTGTGTGATGCAGGGGTCAGGGCCAGCTGATAGGGGTCGCCTACTGCTACCCTCCACCAAGCTTGAACAACCCCAGACCTGATGGGAGGGGATCTGTTTGTGTTGGTGCTCGGAGGTATCATCTGATTAAGTTCTTTAAGGCACAGTATTTTTGTTTTTTTTTTTTTTTAAAGTATTTGTATGTTTTTGTATTTGTTATTATTATCGTTGTCCTGAAGTCGATCCTTTTTTAACCTTAGTGTTTAGAGATACACCACTGGACCACTGAGAGGATGGAGGCACCAGGAGGGGCTAGAAAGCATATTCAAAACAAAGGGAAAGAAGAAAACTAGAATAACTGAGGAATGATCAAATAAAAAAGAACAAAAAAAAGTGGGTAATGGACCATTTCAATTGTGTTCCAGTGTAGTGTGTTGTTGGGTTATGTATTGATGACAGTAGTAGAAATAGTGCAGATCATGTTGTAGTAATAATAATGTCATTTGTCCGGATTGTTTGACTATGATTTGTTAGTGTATCATTTTAATTCTCATTAAAGCGTAGTTTTTAAGACTCTTTGATTGAACATTTCCCCGCCCTGTGGGTTTGGCGCTTGGCGGGTGTTAATGTCTGACCCTGCTGATACGTTGTATGATTTAATCTTTGACCACATGAAGTCGTAAACTCAAGTCAAACTTTGTCCTTTTCCTCGCGCCTCTCTCTCGTTTGTTGGTTAGGAGACCTTTGTGACGTCTTATCAGACAATGCAGCGTTTATTTCTTCTTCTAACACGTCATCACCAGCGTCTCTCTCTGAACGCTGTCACATGTTCCCTCCAACAATCATCAGCCTGACGTGGTGGAGGGTTCAAGTCCCTGTGAGCCGCTGTCCCTCCTCTAATGAATCTGTTCAAACGGTTAAAGTGTTCAATAACGGACACGTGATGTTCATCAGGTCGTTGACCTTCAATCATTAACCCCGTGTTCTCCAGAGCTCGTTGGATCTCTGAATCTAACTCCTCTCCGACCTGACGGACGAGTCAGAGACGACACTGATCCACTGGATCTGAAAGGTTCAGGTCGCAGGTTTAGACTGGACTTAAAGAAACACCTGAAATAATCAGAATAACTTTATAATGACTGACAGAGACAAACTCCTCCTCTCAGGAGAGACACTCCTCCATGATGACTTTTACAAGATCAATGAAACACAACACGAGTCATAAAGACGGATTCAGATCAAGAAACTTTATTAATGATTACAGGAACAGGATTCACACTAACCACATATTTAAACTCTTTGTTGTTCTAAAGAACGTAAAGCGTTCTTCAGAGGAGGGTTCATCCTCTGAACATGAAGATGGTAAAGAAATATGAACAGTCTTCAGGTCTTATATTTGACATTTCAAACATGATAACAAACCCACAGAGCCGAACCTTTACAGGATGAAGCTCCAGAAAGACTCAAACTCAGAACAGGTGATAAGGACAGTTATACGTGTCACGTTCAGGGGAAAAACAAGGAACTGGACCCACGTGCAGAATTAACTAAATATATTTAATAAACAAAAACTTACTTCCAAAAGTTCAACAAAAAAAACACAGGGATCAAAAACAGAGAGCCACACAGGAGCACGAGCAAAAACTGACAAATACCAACAAACAATGAACTGACACAGAGGACAAGAAACACAGAGACTAAATAGACACATGGGGTAATCAGACACAGGTGAGACTAACGACACAGGTGAAGACAATGAGGGTCATCAACACGGAGGGAAACACACAGAGGCAGGAATACAATACAAGAAACACTGAGGACAACTACAAACTAAATCATGAAACACTAAAAGACACACAGAACTCAAGAATGAAACATTACCAAGAAAACACACTAGAACAAAGAAACACAGGTATAGGAAATACAAAATAAAAACACTAGAAACTAAGCTAGGAGACAAACTGAAAATACAAACTACATAAGACCAAATCATGACAATACGTTGTTTTTAAGAGAGAGCCTCGTAGTTTAATTATTTCAAACTGATTGTATTTAATGAATTCATGTTTAAAATAACTTCAACAAAACATAAACTGAGAAGAAGACGAGCTTTTTATGGCTCATTAATTATTCATCATTAATGGATCATTGATTGTTAAGGTGTTCAAATATCGCTTAAGAAAAATGAGTGAAATTTGATTCTAATCATCAAGATGTTTTTTTAAATCTACAGTCACAGAGATTCAGTGGTTAAGTCCTCAGTGGGAGTTCTTCTCTCAGTTCTGATGCATGCAAACTGTTTCTCAGTGAAAGTGTGTGTTGGTGTCAGACTCACTGTGATCCTCTGCAGCCTCTTCTTCACTCAGAGAACAGGGACAGACTCTACCCCCCCACAGTGTCCCAGCTGTGAGTCCCTGAGTTACACCAAACAGATCTGAGCTCTGTCATAAAGACAACCAGAGACATCAGGACGACACAGTCACAGAGATCTTCTCTGGTAACATCTTCAGTGGGAGTTTATCACCAGTGTAATGTATGGAAACATCCTCTCAGTGAAAGTGTGTGTGAAGGTGTGTATGTGTGTGTTAGTATCAGGATCAGAGAAGGACAGCTCTCCTCTGTTACAGTCCAGATTCACTCTGATCCTCTGAAGCTTCTTCTTCACTGAGAGATCATGGATGGATGTGGGGTGTGCTCTGTATTTACCATCTTGAACCATATGAACCATAATCCAGACTTTGTCTCCCTTCCTCTGTCCAGACTCTGCTAACACACCCAGTCCAGATGTACTGTCTCCAACCTGGACGTCCCAGCTGTGAGTCCCTGAGTTAAAGCCCTCAGAGCCCAGGACAGAGCCGTAAGTATCAAACCTCTCTGGATTATCAGGAAGCTGCTGTCTCTCTCCTCGTGTCACACAGGTCAGATCTTCAGACAGGATGAAGCCTGGATGAGCAGTGTTTGGGTCCAGAATGACCGGACTGTAGGAGACCATGTCCTTCATCTTGTTCCAGATGTTGAAGCTCAGGTTGCCCAGGTGTTTGGCCTGGTCTATCAGAGCTCCTGAGGGCAGCTGTGGATCCTCCAGCAGGGGGCGCTGCTGGACTCTTTCCACTGCAGCCTTGTAGTTTTTCAGGAATGAGACGTCTTCAGCTCTCAGCTCGTCCTCTGTGTCTCTGACTGTGTGTGAAAGAGCTGCTATCTCTCTGCTCAGAGCCTCCATCTCCTCCTTCATCCTCTGACTCTTCTGCTCCTCTTCCTCCCTCAGTGCACACAGCCTGGCCTCCTCTTCCTCTTCTAGAAACTGGTGAAGCTTCTTAAACTGCTCCTTAATCTGCCTCTCTGTGTGTCGGGCCTGGACCTGAATGTGTTCTGCTGTTTGATCAAACTTCACTTTAACTTCTTTAAAAACATTTAACTTCTTCTTTACCGGCTCCAGAGTTTCCTGAAGTTTCTTCTTGTGTTGTCCAGCAGCTTCATCGATGGGTCTGATTGTGTGTTTGCTGTGTTTTTCTGAATCTCTGCAGACGAGACACACCGGCTCCTGATGGTCCAGACAGAAGAGTTTGAGTTTCTCAGAGTGCAGACTGCAGAGATCCTCTGAAGCTCTCTGATCTCTCTCCTGCACAAAACTCTCACACAGGTTCTTTAAAGTAAAGTTAGAGGTAATAAATCCTTTGACTGTCTCCTCTTACAAACCGGACACTCCTTGTTCTCCTTCTCCTTCCAGAGTCCTTCACACACTCTCTACAGAAGCTGTGACAGCAGGACAGGATGACTGGATCTTTAAAGATGTCGAGGCAGACCGGACAGCTCAGATCTTCCTCTAACTTGGACGCCATTTTATCTCAAGCTGAAGACGAGGAGACGAACAGCTGGGAGTCACTCCCTGTCACTCAAAGTTCCTTTAATCTGTATTCTTTGTTCTTTTTTTACGTCTTATCCGGTTTGTGGATTCAGTTTCAGGTAAAAGTCCAGATATTCCCAGTGTTCCCAGTGTTCCCTCCTGCAGCGGTCTGGTTTTGCTCTGAAGGTGAATCTTAATGTCAGTCCTTCATGGCGTCTCGTCTCAGTGACTCAGAATAACAACCTTTGTCCAGGTTGTCTCAGGTGAGTCAGGTGAGGGGGAGGAGATTTATCACTACAGCTATCAGGTTCAAGTTTCATAAAATAACTTTGTGATCATTGGTGACTCACCAACAGAGAGGCGGGGTTACACCGTAGAGTTTAAAACGGGTAAA